GCGCTAATCCAATCACCGAACGCGCACGGCCAGTCTCGACATAAGGCCTCCTAGCTAGCCCTAGTAGGAGACAAGAACAAGTCAGGATACAGGATACAGATCACGAGTCTGAGACTCGTGATGTGATTGGCTTTTGAAACCTGATGGTGCCCGTTCATTTACAGCGCACAGGGGCCTGCTCTGTTCAATCTGAAGGCCCTGAGCAAGTTTAATTTACCTGGCAACACAAGCTAGCTGCAATATGATTGGTTCAAAACTCTACCATAATAAATAAGTTATTTTTCGAGAGGCTTTCAATGTTATTTAAAATAATATTGAAAGCCACTCAACTAAGTGGAAATAATATGACATAAAGAATACAGAGAATAATTTTGTTAACATATTTATGAAAATAAAATAACAAATTTATGTTATTTTCTGAGAATGTTTCGGCCAGCAGAGAAGGCCTTGCTGGCCCTCAGGGTCCGCCACTGCCTACCATACATGTCTCTGGAACGTGGGAGGAAACCAGAGTCCTTGGAGAAAACCCACACAGGCATGGCAAGAACAATCAAACTCCACACAGAAAGGCCGGAGTTCGAACCCTGCACATCTGCACTGTGAGGCGGGTGTGCTAACCACTCAACCCTTAAAGAAAGATGTCAACATAAATTTTAGTAACCATCAATCACAGTTTTGGCACATTAGGCGATGTTTAAATTCCTACATTACAGGTTTAGACTGGCACATTTCATCACGACTTTGTATAAGTAATGTAAATGTTGATGGTCATACTTGGTTGCGTTTTAACAAATGGAGCCATTCAAGATGGGATTGGCAGTGCTCGGCCAATGTATGGAGCAAAGTAAGCCCAAGAACATGAAATATTAATGAACAAATTATCTGAATACAGTGTAAGAGTTGTTACTCATGAATGGTTCAAGACTTGGTAGAGTGAAAAAGGTGGCCGAGAAATCAATTCATAACTCACCATGTACTGTATGAACAGCCAGTCTTGTGCTACCCGAAAATGAAGTTTCATTTTTTTTTTCGACACAGTTTGTTTTATATTGCATACGTATGTGAATTCTTTTACATCACACGCACACACACACACACACACACACACACACACACACACACACACACACACACACACACACACACACACACACACACACAAACACACGATTTTAGAGGAGCGCTTGTATCGAAACTCAAAAACTTCATGATTGTACATAGATAGGCCTTTAAAGCCGCGTTTTGTAGATGGAGGACTCCCTGCTTGTACTACAACTCTTTTTTGATTAAAATGTCTTTTCCTGCATTTTTGAGGATTATTTATTTTTATTTTTATTACTGTTATTACTGCTCAATAACTTGATGATTGTACAGTGATCCCTCACTACTTCACGGGTCACTTTTCGCGGTTTCAGTGCATCGCAAATTTTTCAAAAGCATTCATCAAAAATAAATAAATAGTAAATGCCGCAAAAGGTCCGTAGGAGGCAGCGAAAGTCAGTAAAACAACAGCGAGTCACGTAGAGCAACATATGGAGTACTACATGTATGTCTCATGTTTATGTTTACTTTATTTTATTATTTATACACTAACCTAATCTATACATCCTCTATATCAGGGGTGTCAAACTCATTTCACATTGTGGGCCACATACGGCCTCGATAGATGTCAAGTGGGCCGGACCATTAAAATTTTACCATACTCTGCTATAAATAACCAACATACTGTTTCATGTCTTTCCTTTGTATTTGTAGAAAGAATCACAAGAACATTAGGAAAATGTTGAAATTTAATGAAGATATCTTTTACAAAACATTTGACAAAATGACTTGACTCTTTGTTTCAATTGGCTGTCTAAATCTCCAGATAGGTCCGGAATCCTTTCTGGAAGAGTATTCCCCGTCAGGCTAATATTGGCAAAAGCTTGTCGCTTCTCGGGACATACAAGTTCAGTCACCTTCATCATGCATTGTTTAAAAAAGTCACCTTCGGAATACAGCTTTGATGCTCATGCTATTTTGCTCGCAATTTGGTCACTGGCTTTTACTGCTGTGTTGGGTCTGTCTCAGTGACGGACTGAGACTGCTAATGTCTTCTTCTCTGATCAAAACAATGCTGTCTTCTACTGTGATCAAAACAGTTGATAGATTGATTCTTTAAACCTGTTTTTAATTGGAACCCTCTCAGGACAAGTGTTGCAGATTTGTAACTACCGAATACCTAGACTACACCTGGTTCGAGAACTTAATTTGAGCCTGAGAGGGATCTATTGAGAAGGGACTCTTTCAAGCGTTGAATGAGTGTTTGCGCGCCGGCTAAAGACGTGGTCTTTAAAGCCGTTTAAAGCCCTGAGCCATACTAGTCCCTATCAGGCATATAGACAGAGTCGAGTCTTTAAAACTGTTGAGGGCGACGTTGTCCTGCACGTGCTTAAACTCCGTGTGTAAATGTCTATATAGAACGTTACCTAGGTTGAATGTAATCGAATAAAACTCGCTAAATGAGTGACTGTGTGACTGTGTGGGTGGAGGTTCGCTACCTCATTAGAACAGGACATTTGTTGTGGCAACTGTCTGAGGAAGCAGATGCAAGAATTTCCCGCCACTTTGGTGGTAGAAGGTTGGAAATTACCTCAGTCGGAGAAATTGTCACCCTGTTCAAGGGAAAAGTCAGCATAGTTACCCTTTGTAAACCGCTGACTCTCAAATTTGCAAAATGGGGATACTAAATAGTAAGACCACGGATAAAAGGAATCTTAAAATGAAGTTAACATGTACGGACTGGAAACTCGTAGAGAGCCAATGTCCTTCAAAGATAAAACATCTAAATTTGTGGATAAAAAATATAATTTCGCTGGCCGGCTGAACACACAAACATTACTGCACCTGCAGGATAATATTAGAAATATGTGCGGAAATGACAGAGAAAAAATAATTATGGATGGGTTCGAAGACGTTGAGGTCTGGATGTTCTTGGCTGAAAAGAGGCAGAAAGTGAAAGAGGAAAAGGGAATAGAGAAAGTTGAAAGAAGGGAACGTGTCAGTGAGATGGAATTTAGCCAGGAAAGAAGGAAACGTTATGTTTCACAAGAGAGAGGATGATGAATTGGGATCGATAGGTATACAGACAGGAGGAAAACGGAAAGTAGAGAGAATGCATTTGAGATGACATCTACAAATACTGTTACACCGTCATTGTATCCATCTCTTCCGACATCTC